AAACAATACCTTAATCAAGGAACTACCAGAGGAAAAAATAGAACAAAACAAAACCCACACCTCCACCAACACTGGCAGGGCAAGCCACTGTATATAAACAGAGAGCAAACTCCGCTCCCTTCTAGCATTGAAGATGTTACCTAGCCAGGTAATGAAATGTTTGCAAGAAAACAAGCAAGCTCAGAAATCCCCAAGGACTCCACAGTTCAACTCTGAGCTACACATATTCTCTTCTATTGCTTCCTATAGTGTCCCACCTTCATTCCATTTCCCCCCACAATCAAAAACAAAACACCAGTAAATACAACCCAATGGCAACTAAACATGTGTGATGAATAAAGAATACTGCCTGTCAGGGTGCAAGTAAGGAAAATGGGCAGGATAATTGGGTCCCTGAATATGCGCACTTCACAGTGTTGCACCCGAAAGGAACCTCATGTAGCCAAATGGCCCCATCAGTGGCACAAGAAATGGGAGGCATCATCAGGCCTCCCCCCCCACCCCGCCCTTCATTTCAGCAGAGAAAATGCATGGAGACAGTTATTTTGTTGCAATCCCCCAAAAGTGAGGAATTAAAACTTCTGGCTTATTTATAACAAGTGATAGAGAGGGCAATCCCAGCATAGTCTACCTTCTACTCCTGGAAGATACCAGCTGGGTCTGCCTGCAGTTGCTCCAATTGGCCCTTTTCCCCCAAGCCCGGATTCAGCAGGCTAGTGAAACCTTTCTGATCAACAATGTAGCCGAAATAAAGGAGCTTGTGCAAAAAGGCCCCGCCCCCTCTTTATTTGTTTATGTATACATCACATTTATTTATACATCACATTTATATACCATTTCATAAAGCGACTCTGGGTGGCATACAACAATTAAAATAAAATAACAACTGAATAAAAACAGGCATTATAAAAAGATTAAAGCGTTATTATTAGAATAAAAACATCACACATTTTTTAAAAAGACTAAAAAAAAAAGATTTTAAAATATACAAAATCTCACTGAGAGAGCAGAATATCAATTACAGCAGAGCCATCTAAGAATGTCTCCGGTTCCCAAAGACCCCCAGGAGGATGCATATTTCAAGTCGTCAAGGCGAAGTATTGGGAAACGTTTTCCATCAGCAATAATCGCGCCTCGGATAAACCTCATTGGCTACGACACTTTGCTGTTGTTGTTCAGTCGTTTAGTCGGGTTCGAGGCTTCTTGACCCCATGAACCATATTGCGCCAGGCCTTCCTGTCCTTCACTGCCTCCCTGAGTTTGCTTAGTTTCATGCTCAACGACACTTACTCTTTCTCAATCAATTCACTCTGAAGGAAATGAGCAAAACTACATTAAAGGGGTTCCAAGGCCAAGGGATATCCCTCTCCAAGTCAGGCTTGCCACGGCGTGCCTGGCAAACGGTTTTCGTTACCCCTCCAAGCGTCTGGGGAAAGGTGGAAAAGGAAGTGAGATCAGCTGCAGAGCTGGGCTCGGTCTCGGCGTTACAGCGAGGCTGACGGACCCGTTCTGTAGCGCCAGCTTCCTCC